TGGTATGCTGCAGCCACAGCCAAGGACAAGGTCAGGCTGCAGCGTGTCATCCGCTCTGCAGAGAGGGTGATCGGCTGCAATCTGCCGTCTCTCCAGGACTTGTTCGCTTCTAGGACCCTGAAGCGAGCTAAAAAGATCGTAGCCCGACCCCTCCCACCCCGGACAAAAACTGTTTGTGCCCCTTTCCATCTGGCAGGAGGGTGAGGTCCATCAGGACTAAGAACTCTCGCCACACGAACAGTTTCTTCCAGTCAGCAGTCGGGCTCATCAACAGAGCCCAGTCCCCCCACTGACTGACTCTGACATTCCACCCGTCACTTTCTTTCACACTGCACACGTCACTTACACTTCTATTGCTTTATTTTTAATCTAACCCATAGCCTTATACTACTAACCCATAGCATTATATTTTATTTTATTTCTCGTGCACTGTTGTCTTGCCGTCCATTGTCGTATTGTCTGCTGTTACGCACCAACCACCAAGTCAAATTCCTTGTATGTCTGACATATTATGGCAATAAATGTTTCCTGTTTCCTAGCTTCACCAGCACAATGAAACCCTTCTTTATTTCTCTGCTTCTCCTGGAGTTTTTTCTACATGAATCGGCTCAATGCACCGTCCAAGCCTCAGAGTTTCACCTGGAAGGAGATTATTTGTTGGCTGGACTTTTCAACATTCACCATGATAGTTCTCCTGTTGTACAAGACCGACCAGAAGCCGTTGACTGCTCCGGGTGAGTCTTACAAAGTCTAGATGAAAATCTTCTGCGGTTGATAATAATAAAATCCTTATGCTAACATAGATCAAACATTTCCTTAAGCTTTAGGTCAGGTGATAGAGCTTGTGACATTTACAGGTTTAATGAGCCTTTCGCAGTTTCACTGTACTGTCAGGGTGTACTTTGACGTGTTTGGGTTTAAGATCAGGGATCTAATCACCCCTCCAGGTTGTGACAATCGCAATGTGAGACTGATTCCCACATTCTCTTACTTTCCTTCCTCTATCTGCAGTAAACCCTTCATTCTTTCAAGTTATCTGAGGTTTCAGTTGATGAGATCCTCTGTAGAGGAAATCAATAACTCCACCGACCTCCTGCCAAATGTGTCTCTCGGATATGAGATATTTGACCACTGCTCAGATATACAGTTTTCCAATCATCTTTAAACTTCTCTCAGTTGATGGCTTGATCCAACCTTGGGCTGAACCACCCAAGAATCTGTCCAAAGTCATGGCTGTGGTCGGCACTTATACGAGCACTCAGGCACTGACTGTCGCCCCGCTGTTCATGATGGATCTCATTCCGATGGTAAATCATCCAAATACATTCAGTGATACCAACATGTTATCATACATTTAACAAAATTCAAGCAGCTTCTAAATGTATCACTAAAATAACGACTATTTATTGCTCTTAAAATATACATGCTCGAATCTATGAATTGTAAAGTGAGTTTTAATGTTACATTTGAGAATTTGTCACTGTACATTATTCTTTTTTGACAGGTCAGTTACGCAGCTTCAAGTACGGTATTTTCAAGAAAACAGAATTTCCCCTCTTTCCTACGAACAGTTCATCCCAATAAAGACGTCATAGAAGTGATTGTTAATATTATGCAACACTTCAACTGGAGCTGGGTCGCATTCCTTCACATTGATGATAATTATGGAAACGATGGCCGGGAATTGTTCATAAAGAAAATTGATGGCACTGAGATTTGCCTGGCATACACCAAAGGCCTTGATCAACATACGAATTATTCACAAGTATTCAGACAGATAGAGAAACAGAAAATAACCACTATTATTGTTTTTGCTCCTGAATGGACTGCTGAAGCTCTCATTAAATCAGCAATACAACAAAACGTCACCAACAAGGTGTGGATAGCAGGAGATGCATGGTCCTTAAACAAGGAGCCCCCCAAAGAGAAAGGAATACAAAATATTGGGACGATACTGGGGGTCTCTGAACCAAAAGTTACAATACCTGGTTTCAGTGATTTTATCCATCACTCCAAAGGCCAGACTCACTGTGAAAATGCAGAACAAAGTATGTTTTACAATCAGGTTTGCAAATGCAGCAGCCTGAAACCAGAAGAAATCCTCAATGTGGATCCATCTTTTAATTTTCCTGTTTATGCTGCTGTACATGCCATCGCCCATGCCTTACACAATACCTTGCAATGTGACTCAGGCAGATGTAACAGGAATATTACAGCGTACCCATACATGGTGAGTATAAACATAATATGATCAATTAGTCTCTTACTCTGTTTGATGTAAATGTATCTTACTTATCTCTTTTGAATCATCACCTAATCCAAAGTATTATAAAAAAAAGTTATCTAAACTTGTGTGTCCATATCAGGTTCTAGCAGAGCTGAAGAAGTCAAACTTTACACTTTTAAATCAAAGTGTCACATTTGATGAGAATGGTGACCCCAACTATGGATCCTATTCTATAGTTTTCTGGAACCAAAGCGCTGACGCACAGGAGATTGGCTTTCATAACTTTTACCCAAACTTGTATTTCTTCATCGACAACAGCAAAATTCAGTGGAAGACAAAGGAAGTAAGTTGTTTTTCTCCACAAAAATACTTTATACTGTTTTGCACTTCTGCAGGGATGTGTGTGTGTGGATGAGTGTCCATGTGCACATTTATTTAGTAATAATGCTGAACATTAACCAACAGTGGTTTGTGCATGGAGTCGTTTGCAGGGGGCATCCAGATGTTGTGTTTAATGTTGATCGCATGTGACAAACCCCTTTAAGAATTAGAAATGCATCATGGGCCAACACTGTAATTTGCCTGCACCCATTACTGTTTAACATTGCACTCGTCCTCACTCGGGTTGTAAATAATTGTCTTGTACAGGTGCCTACTTCACGGTGTTCCCAAGAATGTGATGAAGGATCCAAAAAAATGCCAGATGGAATCCACAGATGCTGTTTCAAATGTGAAATCTGTCCAAAGGGCACTTATTTCAACAAAACAGGCAAATTTCTTTCTGACTTTCAAACTTGTTTATAAATAACTGATTTCAGACAGAAGCAACATGTGAGCACCGTGTCATTCATTCCACGGCGACTACACTAAAGAAAAAACGTAAAAGAAGGTCAAATGACTGGCAGCAGCGGCTGCCAAACAAAAGAGGTCAAATTAAGGTAAAACAACTTAATTAAAATGAAGTGCGAAAACCATAAATGTACAGGAATTTTCCTTAACAATTTTACAGAGGGAAAGAAAGGCTGCAGCAAAACTGAGGGTCAGGAGTTTCATGCCTTTAGCTGAACATCAAACATTTGCAGAACAGATCTCTGAGCTACCACTCAGAGATTGGTGGCCTCGAGGCATAACCGGTTGGAGGTGCTCGGATGTCCACACAGACCCTCAGCATTCAGTCTACAATCAAGACTTTTGCTGTTGGCTAGAGTTTTGCTCTTACAGTACAACAAATTAAATGTGAAAAAAGATTCCTGAACTGGTCTTTCAGCCACAGAGGACTAAGCAAAAGTGACCTTGACTTGAATTGCAATCTGTCCTTCTCTCGTGTTTAACAGGGGATCCATACAAGTGCATCAACTGTAAGGACAGATTCGTAGATCGCCAGATCTGCAGGGGGGCCGATGTGCTTCCTCATTTTTGGCTGCTTGTGTCTGTCTAATGTCAGTGTGTTCTTTTACTTTGGTAAGCCCACCGGTTCGTCTTGTGTCATGAGACTCTTACCATTTCTCTTGTTTTACACCGTTTGTCTATCATGTTTTGTGGTGCGATCTTTCCAAATTGTTTTCATTTTCAAAATAGCTGCCAAGTTCCCAAACTTTCACAGTGTGTGGATAAAGTATCATGGACAGTGGCTGTTCATCACGCTGGCATTTGTTACTCAGGCACTCTTACTTCTTTTTGGCAATATGTTTGCACCTGCAAAGCCCCACAATGAAACCTCTTGGTACCCAGACAAAACCTTCCTTGTTTGTGGGATGAGTAACGAAGCATACGTTGGTCCTGTGGTTTTACTTGTGTCTCTATGGTTCCTTTGCTTTTTTTTCTCGTACATGGGCAAAGATCTTCCTAAAAATTACAATGAAGCCAAAGCAATAACCTTTTGCCTGCTCCTGCTGATCCTCACATGGATCATCTTTGCCACTGTGTTCTTACTTTACAGGAGCAAAGACATCCAGACACTTAACGCCGTGGCAATACTCTCAAGTCTCTACTCCTTTCTGTTGTGGTATTTCATGCCAAAATGCTACATCATCATTTTCCAATCCCACAGAAACACGCAAGAGTATTTCCAAGGTCTCATTCAGAATTATACCAAAACATTCTACTAGTAGATATGTGTCTGGTTTATAGAGGACAAGACATCTGGTTCAGGACTTTCATTTAATTCTATTTTTTTTGTAGAAATGTGCAGTCATTTAAACACATTCCTCTTTTGTCGCACTGTAATTAGGTTGATTCTTTATTTGATGTTTTTTGCTCAGGGGTTCAGGAATCTTGAAATTTACTATACAGCATAGACTCCTGTTGTGTTAGAATTTACAGTTATGCCAGTGGCTTTGTGGCATAGTATAGACTTATAGGTAAAGCAGTGCCTTGAGCTAAATGCTGCTGTATAACAAACTAGCAGTATAAAGCTGCATGGAGCAGGTATATTTGATGGCCAACCCAAAAGTCACTGTTTCCTCCACACTCGTACAGCAACCCTCCACATCTTGCCCACCTTTCAGTGACGCGTCAGTTTCTCAAAACCCTTCATTGTTTCAACAAAGATTTGTTTAGTCTTCTTCCCTTTGTTTTAAAGAATGTCTGTGCATCTCTTATCTCTGACCTCCAGTCTCTCTGTAGAAACATTTCAGTGTACGTCCCCAATTCTTATTCTCTTAGACAGATTGAGGAGTTACTTGATGAATTTCCATTAGTTCTTGTGTAACTAATTAATTATCTCTTCTAGTTAAACCAAAATTGTAGTAATAGCTTGTTGAGTTAACCTCTTTCACATCCTTCACTCATGGTTCATTCCAATAGCTTTCATTCATTTTGCCGAAACAGGTTAACTAAACAATTCTCTGATAATACCAATTGTTGTCTTCTTTCTAAACCGGTTTGTGGATCTATTATCATTAATTGCACTGACAGATATTCTGTGTGCTGGTGCTCGTTTGTAGTCTCACCCTAATAGTGACATTTTATCAATTAATAAACCCCATTTATTAACTTATTTTCTTTATTCGTCCATCCTTTTACATCTCTTCTGTTTCCCATCAGCCTATGGCTGTGTGTTTGTTTGCATATGACCTGTTGTCCGTTGAAGAGGGATCCGCCATCCTCCACTTGTCCTCTCCTCTCTCTCCTCCATCCAAACACCATCCTGTCTTTTGAAGGCCTCCTCTCTGCTCCACTCATTTTTTCCCCCCACAGACCCCTCATGCGTCATACACATAAGAACAAACAGGTTTTAGATACTTCAACATCATCGTATTAAGAATTTTCTTTCTCTGTGCTTTTCTCTGCTCCACCGCACTGTTGCTGCTGGTATAAACAAATTAGTTTTAGGATTACAATTCCAGGAGTAATGTACTGGTGTTTGTTGCTACCAGTCACCCTGTCCGATCTGGTGGGAGCTGGCCTGTAGCTGGATGCTGAAGTTCTGGCTCATGGCTTTGGTCAATGCAGACACAAGGTCTGGGCTCAGGATCTATGGGACCAGGGCTGTGGTTTGTGATGGGGACTGAGGAGGTGACCGGTGGATGGAGGCTGAGAGACATGCAGAGGAGGCTTCGTCTCCCGTATATCACATCTTAAAATTAAACCAAATCAGGAGAATGAATCACATTATCAATCTCTTGTTACTCTTTTTTTTTTTGTTTTTTGTTACTCTTTTTACTCCCTCCTTAGCAACCTTCTATCAACCATATTGGTCTTCCCATTCCCTTAAATGCTTAACATTTCCATCTTTGACTTTCAGAATTTTCCAACTTCTATCCGTCATCCACTTTCACAACTTTCATCTTTTGCTGGGGAGCGACCCCATTCTATATTCTATATATTATCATTATTATCTATTAGCGCTTATATCTAAACTATTTTCCAGGACTGCTTTCGATTAATAGAAACCTGTTTTTGTTTTTACAGCTAACAGGAACTCCCGATTCCTATTTGTTTCAGTGAGAAGAGTGTGCTTTTAGAGGGGATGAAAAACACGTGGATGTCGTCACTCTCCTCCAACTCAAGTGGATCCTGGCCTCACAAAACCAGCCATTAACACTGTACACACTGAGCAGATTAATTTTTGACACTTATTCCGAGTTAAATTGTTAACACGTTGAGTGTTGATTTAACACTGACAATATTCGGACAATATAAAACGCAAGCTTAGAGATAATTGCATCTGACAGAGTAAATTTAACTCTCTGAAATTTGCTGTGTGGTTATAACTGATGGTGTTGTTCCCTGCAGTGGTCCTGCCGTAGACCTGGCTTACTACTCGCAATGTTTCAATCATTTCTGTCATAGGAATTGAGTGTATTGTACCTCTTTTGCATCGTTCATTCTCTACACATGACATCCATTGCAGTCTATCCTTCCCAGGAGAGGGATCCCTCCTCTGACGTTCTCCCTAAGGTATCTCCCCGTTTTTCATTTTTTGGGGAGTTTTCCTGTGCCAATGTGAGGGTTTCGGGACATAGGATGTCGCATGTGTACAGACTGTAAAGCCTTCTGAGGCAAATTTGTCATTTGCAATTTTGAGCTACACAAAATGGGATGAATTGAATGTTTGAATGCACTGTGCCACAGAGACAGTTGGGACAGTATTTTTACATACTGATTTGTGTATTCTTCTGCATTTGGTACTTCTGATATGCTCTCATATTTCATGTTTCACATCGGAATGGTTAACGGTAGCTTCACCAGCACAATGAAAACCTTCTTTCTTTCTCTGCTTCTCCTGGAGTCTTTTCTACATGAATCGGCTCAATGCACCGTCCAAGCCTCAGAGTTTCACCTGGAAGGAGATTATTTGTTGGCTGGACTTTTCGACATTCACCATGATAGTTCTCCTGTTGTACAAGACCGACCAGAAGCCATTGACTGCTCCAGGTGAGTCTTACAAAGTCTCAATGAAAATCTTCTGCGGTGGAAAATAATAAAAGCCTGATGTTAACACAGATCAAACCTTTCCTTAAGCTTCAGGTCAGGTGATAGAGCTCATAACATTTACAGGTTTAATGAGCCTTTCGCAGTTTCACTTGGATGTGTATGGCTTTAAGATCAGGAATCTAATCACCCCTCCAGGTTGTGACAATCGCAATGTGAGACTGATTCTCACATTCTCTTACTTTCCTTCGTCTTTCTGCAGTAAACCCTTCATTCTTTCAAGTTATCGGAGGTTTCAGTTGATGAGATTCTCTGTAGAGGAAATCAATAACTCCACCGACCTCCTGCCAAATGTGTCTCTTGGATATGAGATATTTGACCACTGCTCAGATATAAACAGTTTTCCAGGCATCCTGAAACTTCTCTCAGTTGATGGCTTGATCCAACCTTGGGCTGAACCACCCAAGAATCTGTCCAAAGTCATGGCTGTGGTCGGCACTCATACGAGCACTCAGGCACTGACTGTCGCCCCGCTGTTCATGATGGATCTCATTCCGATGGTAAATCATCCAAATACATTCAGTGATACCAACATGTTATCATACATTTAACAAAATTCAAACAGCTTCTAAATGTATCACTAAAATAATGACTATGTATTACTCTTAAAGTATATTTACTAGAATCTATGAATTGTAAAGTGAGTTTTAATGTTACATTTGAGAATTTTTCACTGTACATTATTATTTTTTGACAGGTCAGTTACGGAGCTGCAAGTTCGGTATTTTCAAGAAAACAGAATTTCCCCTCTTTCCTAAGAACAGTTCATCCCAATAAAGATGTTATAGAAGTGATTGTTAATATCATGCAACACTTCAACTGGAGCTGGGTCGCATTTCTTCACATTGATGATGATTATGGAAACGATGGCCGGGAATTGTTCATAAAGAAAATTGATGGCACTGAGATTTGCCTGGCATACACCAAAGGCCTTGATCAACATACAAATTATTCCCAAGTATTCAGACAGATAGAGGCACAGAAAATAACTACTATTATTGTTTTTGCTCCTGAATGGACTGCTGAAGCTCTCATTAAATCAGCAATACAACAGAACGTCACCAACAAGGTGTGGATAGCAGGAGATGGATGGTCCTTAAACAAGGAGCTCCCCAAAGAGAAAGGAATACAAAATATTGGGACGATACTTGGGGTCTCTGAACCAAAAGTTACAATA